CAGAGAGCTTCTTCCATGTGAGAGAGAAATAAACTTAGGTTTTTTCAGCCAGTTTTACCTTTGTTTTCTGTCATGAGCCACAAAATGTGATCCCACTTGTTACCCCCTCTTCATTCTCCCAGTGCTCTGGACCCATTAATAGCATTCTACACTCGCAGTCCAACAGTGGGGCAAGGCTATGACACCACTTTAAATTCAAAAATAATGAAATAATTCTGTGCTGCTTGGGTATGTAGTTTTTAAAAACACTTTCAAAATATATTCTTGAAATCAAATAGTTGAAAAAAAAATTGAGTCTTAAAATCCTAGTTTTTGATTATCAGAATCCAAAGTCCCGAAGCACATTCTGGGGAGAAAGTTTTGCTACAGAGAATAGGCATAAAAAGATCTTTGACCATCTGGGCAGTAGTCCCCCACTTGCAGGACACGGTGAGATCCTGTGAGCTAGAGGGAGGAAGGGAGTCAGGGAAAGAGTTGGAGTGTTGGATGTGGACAGAGGCTCTTGAGAGGGGCGTGGGACTTTCCCCTCCAGCCCAGAGTGGGTGGAACTGGGAGGGAAATGACAGAGCAAAGAAAAGCAGAACAATGGATCGTGAGCTAGAATCCTGCCATCTGTGAGTAAAGAGTGGAGGCAAATGGATTTGGGGGGCATGTTGGAAAAGGGGCCTGAAGCAGACAGGGGGTCCCCATGCACCTGATGGCAGGAGGGTCATCTAAGTACTTCTGGAAAGACTCGAGTCATCTGGAAGAAGATCAGAGGACACAGTGTGACGTGAATAGAAGGAGAAAGATCTCTCAGCAGTGGATCTAGACGGCCAATGTCTTCCTAGGACAGGAAGAGCCTCCTGATGCATGCATCTTGGCAAGCCCTTCTAAGAATGTGGATAACCCCCCACCCCCCAGAGAAAAAGGAGCACAGGAGCACTGAGCTGGCAGTGAAGTCGTGAATTGGCCAAGTGTATCATAAACTATGATCAAATCATGAAATGACTGAGGGTGATCTTGAAATGACTAGAAAATCATTTTCCACACTTCTGTGCAAGGTGGGCCACCTGTATGGCAGACGTGGCCCTCTGGCTGTCACGTGGAAGGAGCAGAGCCCAGGCCAGGAATCCGAAAACCAACCTAGAGGGCAGGGCCAAAGGAAGGAGTCTGGTATGAACTGAGGCTGGGCACACAGGGCAGGCCACACACAGCCCACGCCAAGCCAAAAGAGAAAGGCTGGAATGAGGAAAACACCTACAGAACTTATGCACTTTTCACATGAGTTCCTACAAATTGATAAGCAGAAGATATGCATTCCAACAGAAAAACTGTGCAAAAATGATATATTAACAATTAACAGAAAAAGATTATAATAGTGTCCAATAAATCCACAAAAAGATACCGAACTTCATTAGTAGGAGAAAACTCAAATTAGAGCAACAATGAGAAAACATTTTTATCCAAGAGACTGGAAAAAAATTACAGCATCCCAACATTTATTGCTGGGGAGACAGTGGGGAAAAGAGGTGCCCTTATCACTGCTTGTTGGAATTGGTGTTGATGCCACCTAATCTGAATACAATTTCTTAGTATCTATTAAAATAAAATATGGCTCCACCCAACAATCCCATGATTGGGTATATATCCAAAGGGATATAAATCAATTATAAAGACACATGCATGAGTATGTTCATTGCAGCACTGTTCACAATGGCAAAGACATGAAATCAACTGAAATATCCATCAATGTATACAGCGTGAAATACTACATAGACATGACAAGAACAAGATCATGTGCTTTGCAGGAACACAGATGGAGCTGGAGGCCCCTATCCTTAACAAACTAACATGGAAACAGAACACCAAATACCACAATGCTGTCACTGACAAGTGGGAGTTAAACAGTGAACACACGTGGACACATAGAGGGGAACAACACACGCTGGATCCTAATTTAACTTAAATATTAAATTAAGAGTAAATAAATAAAATAAAATATGGCCATACCAATTGGTGTAGGAATCTCACTTTGAGAATTTATTTCACGAAGTTTTCTTACAAAAAAGGCCAGGTGTGGTGGTTCACACCTATAATCCCAGCACTTCAGGAGGCCAATGTGGGCAGATGGCTTGAGCTCACGAGTTCAAGACCAGCCTGCACAACATAACAAAACCTCAATTGACTGGGCATGTTGACTCATGCCTGTAATTCCAGCACTTTAGGAGGCTGAGGTGGGCAGATCAGTTGAGGTCAGGAGTTTGAGACCAGTTGGCCAACATGGTGAAACTCCATCTCTACTAAAAATACAAAATTAGTCAGGCATGGTGGCACAGGACTCTGGTCCCAGCTACTTGGGAGGCTGAGGAACAAGAATCACTTCAACCTGGGGAGCAGAGGTTTCAGTAAGCTGAAGCCACTGCACTCCAGCCTGGGTGAAAGATTGAAACGCTGTTTCAAAATAAATACATACATATATAAACCAAGAGAAATTACCACGAGGTCTTGGTGCCTGCCTGTAGTCCCAGCTACTTAGCAGGACGATGTGGGAAGACCGCCTGAGCTCAGGAGGTACAGGCTGCAGTGACCTATGATTGCACCACTGCACTCCAGCCTGGGTAACTGAATGAGATCCTGTCTTACACCATGTACAAATGTTTAATGAAGCATTTTGGTGGTAGAAACATCCTGGAAGCAGCCTATCAGCAGACCATCACCCGCACAACCTAAAGCTTGTGCACCTTTCAGACAGATATACAGCAAGAATAGTGGCACATGTGTGTAGGATGCCTGTGAAGGTCCTTTCTGGCTTATGGGTGACAGACACGAAGAAGCAGCTCCCACTGCACAGTGCTCATTCTGATCCATGACATGCTTCAATACGGAGCCACCTATGCCTTTTTTGGAGAGGCATGGGCTCCACAGAGGTGCTGGTACTGACCACAACTGTATTACCTGCCTGGACCCTTCAGTCACTTCAGTATGACCCCTGGCAGATGGCATGCCAGGTGTTTGTAAAATCAAGGCAGAAACGATGCTCTTAATGTACACTTTTGTTTGTACAGACCTGTGTGATTCTGGGGAAGATACAATAGGAATGCAGAACAGAGACAGTAGACATTATATTTCCACCTTTTTTGTAGTTTTAGTAAACACGTTTTATATTTGTAATTTGCGAACTTTTAGTAAAAGAACTATAGTATAAAATAAGTCTAACAGAAAGGTTTATTTAAAAGGATAGAATACACAAGAAACAAAATTTGATGTAAAAAGTTATCTTTATTTTACTTGGATATTTACAAATGAGTGAAAATCAGCTAATAAAAGCATACTTAATAAAATACAAAATCCAATTCATAATACATTTTTTATCAAACTCTGAAAAGATGGGAACTACCTCAACTTAAACATCTATGAGAAACTTATGGCAAACATCTTGGTTAATAATGAAACATTTAAAATATTCCCATTAAGGCAAGGAGGAAGCCAAGGACACTGCCATCAAATTACTGATTCCTTATTTAGCATTTTCAGTGAGTCATGCATTCTCCTTGTTTCTGTCAACCCCCCTCCCCCCCCACACACACCTCTGTTTGATTCATCAGATGTTCTTTGATCCCCTTTTTCCTGAATCTGTTTGGAATTTTAGATTCTATTCCAATTCATGTAGTGGTTCCCAGTGGTTACCCACACTGAGACTTAAAAATGTGTCAGAGTCTAGAGTTTCATTGCTCTTATATTCAGCCACTATATCATTTCCAGGCTCTAGATAAGAACTTCAGTAACTTCTAGCTCCTTCTGAATTTTCTCATGCCCCACATGTCTATGTCAAAGTCTTCTGGAATTTTACTTCCAGGTCATCCATGTTTCTTCCAGAATCATAGTTATCTAGACTTAATAATACAGTTTCTTAATTTCCTTGCTTACTGACTCTTGTTGCATCCCACTTCTTCCAGGATGTCTGGTTTGGCTTTTTCCTGGCTAAAACACATGACGTGTACTTTCACTGTACATAACAGGTCCATTCAAATCACCTATTACAGAAAGGGGGTTTAGCAGCTTGTACATTATAAGTTGTGTACTCTAAGTTCAGGGGAGGCTCAGACTTCACGTCCAGTCGGAGTAGGATTCTGCCTTATTCTGTATGCCATTTCTCCCTTCAAGTGGCCTTGCCCTTGAGCTGACACCGCCTGGCGCCTTCTCTCCGTAACAATTTCTTTGATTGCTCATAGAACACTAGATTCAGAGTGATTTCCCTCTCGAAGCTGTGAGGATATTGCATCATTGCTTTCCACAGTCATCCATGCTGCCAGGCAAAGTCTAATATCACCCTGGTTCTGCTTTCCTTGTAGGTCTCAGCTCTCAGGCAGCTTTTGCAATGTTCTCTTCACCATACTTCATACTCTCAATGGCTGTTCTTCTTGTATCCTGCTCAGGATTCATATATTTCTTCCAGTGGGAGAAATCATTAGCCACGATTTCCTTATATTTTGCTGTCATACAAATGTTCTGGCTCTCCCGGGAGAGCTCCATGTTAGATGACCCCTGGTCCTCAGGATGACTGTTCTGTCTCACTGTCCATCTCTCTCTTGCCTAAACATCCAGTTTATACAGATTTGTTCCTCAGTCCTATCTATTCTGTGATTCAAACCATCAACATAACTTTGGATTCCAACAACCTTGTTTTTCATCCCAAATATCTCTAATTGGCATTTAATATAAGCACAGTAAGATTAGGGGAGCTGCTGGCCTGTTTTACCAAGCATTGAGGAACTCCATGCATGTGTAACTTTGACAGAAGGTACAAAGCAGGGACAAGAGGGGCATTGGAAGCAGGTGGACTATTGTCAGGACCCTGGGAGGAGGACGTGGAGGCTCCATCCTGACAACACAAGGTGAGGGCTTCCATTGGGATGGGAGGGGAGGAGTGGGGCAGAAATGGGGCTGGATTTGGGGCTGGGGGGAAAGTCCAGGTGGAAGAAAGGGAGGCTGGGAACAATGTGGGTGACAGATAGACATCAGCATGCAATGTTGGCGACGAACACTGGGATCCCTCGCACATAAGTGCCGTTGGGGGTTTGAACGACCTGTAAAATAGCTGAGCCACCCAGAGCCCTAAACCCGATGCAGGGATAGAGGGTCAACATGGGCTGCCCGTTGATAGTCTCAGGCTCAGAGGCAGGGGGCGGCTCCTGACGCCCCACCTCAGGATGGGCCACATCAGGGCCAGGGCCTTCCTGCACAGTTCCAGGGACAGGAGCTGTTTCAGGAAAAGAGAAGGCTGAGGCCTGCCTGATTTCCGGTTCCCCCTGGTGGCCTGGCTCTCCATGGTGGTGCAGTTGCATGTGCATGTCTGGTCCCAGCAAGCCTTCTGCCCCCTGTCTCTGGCCAGCATTCCTGCGGGCCCCACGCCCTCTACCACGGCCTCGCCCTGCCAGCCGGCTTCCTCCCCGCAGCCGCCGGCCTCTCTCTGCAGGAGGAGCCGACTCTGTGCGAGCTGGGGGCTCCCATCTCAAGGGTTTCACATAAGCAATGGGTTTTGCGGGTTGGAGTGGCTCTGCGTGGCTCTCCGTGGACTGGACTTCCACGGAGTCTTCAGGGTCCACAACAGAGCAGCTTGGCTCTGTAGGACGCCCACCTGAGGCAAAAAGAGAAGCAGAGTGTGAGGAGAGTGAGCATGGGCTACTCAGGAAGCCTTCGGGGAAGAGAGATGAGGTGAGGGGTTCAGGGAGGGCCCATGGGAACCCCAGCGAACAGAATGAGGGTCAGCAGAGGCCTGCAAGGTGAGCCCTCAGGAGTTCTGTCTGCCCAAGGGCCTACAGCGCTTTCCATGAGCTTTCCATTGCAAGTCCTTGCAACAACCTTGTCAGTCGAATATTATGATCTCCATTTTGCTAATGAATAAATGAGTCTACAGTTCCCTAGAGAGATCGAATTGGAATAAAAATGGCATGCTTCCTGCCCTCACTGAGGTTCAGCTTCAGTAGGAGAGACAAACAGAACACCAAAAAATGAAGGATGTTAATGAGCGACCAGTTAGAAGGTGAAGGGTGTCACAAGGGAGGTGGGTCTGGATCCAGAATGCCTGGGCTGTATTCCCAGGCAGCTTAATTTACCTGGGCATCAGTTCCCCTTTTCATAAACTGGTATAATAACATGACGACCCCTAGGTCCTTACAAGAACTGAGTTACTATAAGTGAAATGCTTACATCAATATCTAGTTCAAGCAAGCATCTTAACATGTATTGAGAAGGAGATGATCAAAAAGTCTTGCTGGAGGAGATGACATAAGCTGGGTCATCAAGGATGATGGGTGGGATTTGCAAGGCAAAGGCAGGAGAGGATTAGTAGGGATAGCAGGGAGGGAGAGGATTACAGGTGACAGAGGGCATGGGGTAGTTGCATGGCTCCCAGGAGGAAAAAAGCCTATGGTGGCTATAGGATAGCTTAGCCGGGAGGGGAGGTGTTCAGACAGATATAGCATTGAGCAATGGAACAGAATGGGAAGCCTGGGACTAGACAAATTTCTATAGAAATTTTATCAGTGAAAGAGTAGGCATTTAAGATCATGTAAAGATTCTTCCCTGGGAAACCTGCTTAGGAAGAGTCCCACGAAACTCACATCTAGTGTTGCCCTTTTTTTTTTTTTTCCTTTTTTGAGATGGAGTCTCACTCTCTTGCCCAGGCTGGAGTGCAGTGGCCCCATCTCGGCTCACTGCAACCTCTGTCACCTGGGTTCAGGTGATTCTTCTGCCTCAGCCTCCCAAATAGCTGGGATTACAGGCACCCACCACCATGCCTGGCTTTTTTGTTGTTGTTGTTTTGTTTTTAGTAGAGACAGCATTTCGCCATGTTGGACAGGCTGGTTTTGAACTCCTAACTTCAAGTGATCTGCCCTCCTCGGCCTCCCAAAGTGCGGGGATTACAGGCATGAGCCACCATACCCACCCTCTTATTGCCCAATTTGAAAGCCCAAACATATGAATGCTGTGGAACTCAATCAGCTAGCCCTACCCATGGGCTTGGAGCTGGCATCAGCTTCTTCCTGGGTCCGATTTTATTTAAAACATAAGCAACAATCAGAGATCATCAAACATCAGAGGTAAGGCTCTAACACTAGAGACAGAACAATAACACAGGAAAAGCCAACTGGGAGAAAATAGTTTGTGCCACAAATGAAACTTTCTAAAAATATCTATAATTAATATCCCTAGAGAGATAGAAGGAATTTTACCCATAAATTAATTATAGGATACTTTAAAAAATAAATACTCAGAGAAAATAGGACTTTTGAAATTACAATGATGAGAGAAGAAACAAAAATTTCCACGGAAATTTGAGAATGAAGTTGAGAAGATCTCCCAGAAAAGAAAGCAAAAATCAAAAATGATAGAAAGAAGGATAAAATATAAGAAAATTAGAGACATATTGTCACTGAGACATATCACCATAAAATTTCAGAGTGCTGATGACAAAGAGAAGATTCTAAAAGATTCCAGAGAGAGGGAGAAAGAGCAAGAAAGGAAAGGTCACATGGAAAGGGCTAGGATTCAACATATCTCAAAAATCAAACGTCTCAAAAGCAGCAGTTAAATCTAGAAAATAACAGAAAATGTCCTCGAAATTTCAAGGGAAATGGATTTCCCACCTAAAATTTCATATCCAACCAAAGTTTCACTTAAGAATCAGGGAGGATAGAATGAACATGTTTCAGACAAGCAAGATCTTAAATAATTTCCTTTCAATGGATGCTTTATTGTTTTGCATCTATCAAACTAGACAAGATTAAAAGATTTAGGACACTCAGTGTATGATGGAGAAGAATGTGGCAATAGCCATAAAATTCCAATTCCTACAGAAAAGAACAAGGTGGAAGTACAGATCTATCATAGATGAAGATGTAGTGTGAGGACTTGCTCCACTACAGAGAAACAGTACAACAAGAAAAAAAAAAAAAAAAAAAAAAAAAAAAAAAAAAAGAAGACATCAGATTTGGGAAGTGGGATACAATTATAAAAAGGGAACGTAATTTCCCAGATGATGTGGAAGCTGGGAGCTGACTTACAGCGAACAGCCCATGTTGAAGCAGGCTGTGAGAAGGTGAAAACAGAGAACACTTGATTGAGTTTGAATTTAAACAATTGGGTAAGAATTGGAGAATGAACTAGTGATAAGTAAGCCCATAGTAACACAAGGTAAGTATTAAGTTCTGGAAAATTCAAGTTATGCAAGAAGTGGAAAGTAATCCTCTTAATATTCTCTCCCCTTCTGGGCTGTGGGGGAGGGACAGAGGGTGTGTGTCCTGGGGTATGTGTGGCTTGACACTTGGGTAATTAGTGGTGGTGGTGACAATGTGTAAACTACAGCTAAATATCCCTCTACCCTAGAGGGAAGACCATAATTAAACCCTAAATGAAAAAAGAAATAGCAGTAGTGTAGGCATGTTATTTAAAGAATGAGAAAGAATGCTGAAAGAATTGGCTACACAGATGGAGGTGGTGTTCCCAAAGGTGTGGGAGACTGAGAAGGAGCAGGAGCTGCTACATTTCATAGCATGCCACATTTGCCTCTCTAAGTTCTGTAAGTCAGTAAAAACCCAGAAAAAAATTAAAAAGAGGGTGGCAGACGTTTGATGTACCTTGATTAGGGGCCATGTAGCGCAGTCGCTTTGAAGGCCTTGGTCCCTCCATGAGGAATCTGCGGGAGGGGGTGGGGAGAAAAACACATCAGTAGAGTTAAACCACAGCCTCATTCCCTGAGCGCCAGGCAGCGATGCAGACCTCCACCACACAACCTCCTCCAGGGCCTCCAATGCCCACAGGCCTCCGAGCGCTTGGCTACTTGGGCACCGACCGAGCCCACGGTGCCACCCAAGTGGACCGTGTGAAGGTGGGGATTGGGGTCGGGGGCTGTGGTTGTGGAAGACTTCCTTCCACACCTTAAATGTGTTTCCGAGGGGACGCTAGTAGCCAGCAGGGATTGGCCTACAGGAGGTTCAATTTATCCGCGTTCCTACAGGCAAAGCTAGGAGAGGGGAGACTAAAGTAGGCCTTTTGGAGGAATGATTCCTCCTCAGGGGAAGAAGGAAGGAAGGTGGGGACAGAGAACGGATTTAGGAAGACAGAGGTAAGAAGGCAGGGTGTGGCCATGGCCTTTCTAGGGGAATGAGGATTCTGTCCCCAAGTGCACCCATCCAAGCCCTATTCACCCCTCAGGGACACCCACACACACACCTGATCTTCCTAGAGCTCGCCCCGGAGATCTTAAAATTAGGAGACTTCGAAGGAGAGAGGCCAAAGGAGCTGGAGGTGTCAACAGGTTCACGGCTATAGCTCTGAACTCGTCCTACCCTAGGCGGGCAGGCGGGCAGGCGGGCAGGCGGGCG